CATATATACTTGCTATGTGTGTGTTTATGGCCTGGTATGCAACAACGACAGACGCCTGCCCGAGAACTACGTCGCGACATCTTTTCATCTTTGTCTGTTGATTTGCCTTTTTTGGAGAACAAGTAGTTTTGGACTTTTATGTAACGGATACATCTGAGTATCAATGTCAGTATATCCGACAACACGCTTCGTCAGGGAAATGAGAACGCGTCCGGGTGAGTTCTAGGGAATCTACATAGAGGAATGATCTGTTGCATTTATGCTGAAGTGCTGTATACATTAGCTAAGATATGGCCGTGAGTCCAATACCTGCAGCACCACAGACAACCGGGAAAGGGGAGGCGAGAGCGGATTCGACAACCATGTTGGTAAGATCTGCAGTGAGCTCGAAAATCAGTCGCCCGCCTGCCAGGAACAGGGATATGCTGAGGTATTGTACTTATTAACTGAGATATGGACGTTATAATCACCACCATCTCAATTGCCACAAGCATTACGCTCTGAATTGGGTTCGAATTGTCCGTGTCTAATGCCGGGGTAGATGAGAGCATCGATCACATAGCTGTTACCAGGAGTGGCTGGCTTGAATAGGGTCGCGTGATTATCATCCCTGAAGTAGCTATGAAAGTATGCGTTAAAACTAGAACCCGTGTCGGCCACAATTCTACAACGCATATTCCTCACAACTGTGTAGATCGCGCTAAAGTATCGCACCACCGTTGTACACAGAATCCTCAATACATTCGCAGCCGGGTTTCACAAGAGACACAAGTGTAGTGCCTTAGTCGGATACGTATGTCCTGGTATTCGACTGGTAGGTGCTCACGTCAACTGCTGTACCGTGTAGATCTCCATGTTTGATTTGTCGTGTGATGGAATGCTCACCAAAAACAAAGTATACCGATGAAACGAAAATTACCACATTGTCTCCATTACCGTAGTGATTTCCGTCGAGTGTTATCGTATGTGCATCACTGGACGTTTTACAAGTAGAAAATTGAGCTGACGTAACACACCCCATTACAATACAACATCCACTGCCCTACCGCAAATTGGTGCGCATAAAATTAATAGTCAGAGGCAAAAGACAAATTTGCATTGCGTCCAGCACCAGCTACCACACGTACTGTGGATTCTGACCCACCCTCAGTTAGAACGTTATTGTGACTTCCATCAGTAGTGACCATGTCGAAAAAACTGGTCCTTCGGTGTTATCCAAAGTGATCTTAGGTGCGTTAAATTATCGAAGACAGATAGATAACCATCGGGCTTGAAGTCCAGTCGCACATTATGAAGTCAACTGTGATGGAACCGTTCTTTGCTTTTCAGATGACATACAAAGTGTCCTAAACTCACTTTGATGGCGCAATATACCATAGCCATTAGTGTGGTTTGCAGACCTATATGTATTTGAGACACTGAGTAGATGTAAGAATGTTGTATCGAAATATACGACGGAGTGAATTACTACTGAAAAATGTATGAGGTCCCGCCAACTTCAAGTATCAGATCAATCTCTTTGTTTTCTATTGTTTTCTTAGTAGGAATAATCATATTAGTGTTAGATATACTTTTATATGTTATTGGACATATACCCATAACAGTACACCCATGTGACTGTGGCGCATTTAGCTAAACTTTTAATATAGTGAAGCGCTATGTAGAATGGAGGGTAATAAGGCTCTCATCCAGAGACCAGAGATAGCCCCCATTCACCTTTTCTACATGCGACTGAAAGAAAATTTCTTACTGAAAACCGCATTAATCTATGTTTTTTATAGTACTGGTTTGTGCCGTAAAAAAAAGGTTAATAACTAATATCCCACTAAGGTTACATGGTTCTCAGCCAATTTTGTTACCGCAAACGACCACTGCACGGGTGACGTATCGTGAAAAGCTTTCACCTCTATTCCATAGAACGAATGCCATACTCCAAGGTTCGATTGACAGTCTACAGCTTTTTATCATTTATATGGACTCCCTAGCTATTACACTTGCGCAATTTCGGCCGAAATTCGTCCGCTCCTACTTCTTTGTAGATACGTGCATCCAGGCTCCACAATCTGTTCGGTTGCAACCCTTCCTGAACGCGATCGATGATTGGGGTCACCAATCCGGTCAAGAACAAGGAATTCTTAAGCCCCGAAAGTGATCGTCGAGTATGTTGTATGCGGTACCGCCTCTCCGTATCAAAGGACACCTCATCACGCCAACACTAGTAGGCTCCCCAATTGCGAACATTCTCAACAGAAACCTACTTTTCCCTCCCATGTTCATGGCGGTGGAACTCTCTAACATCTATCCAAAGCCTTCCAAATACTTGGATTTCAACTGTCCCAGGGCATACCGGGTATCGACTTTGTAAAACACATGGATAATTTCGTGGCAGAATTACTCCAGGCTATAGTGTCCTTCCGGGCGTAAGGTTTTCATGGATTCAGCTTGCACAATCCGCGAAATCAGTTGGCAATATTCAAGACGCTCATTCTTTCGACGGCAACCTATGGTTGTCTAAACATCATAGCATGACCTCTGCCTGTTTGACATGCCGCGTTGAAGCCGCTGTACGAGCGGTACAACTCAGCACTAATTCAAGCAACAGCTATCATAACCAGCACTATATTCCCAAAACGCCCATACCAGCGCACACAGCTTCTTCGCTTTTGTCGTTTACTTTGAGGAGTACCTTGGTGGCTGCCTGGGACTACACATTGACTCGATCGACAATACAAACCCACTTGCCACACTTGCGAGACCCACTTGGACACGTAACAGACCGCCGGGTAAATTCACGTCCAATATCTACGCAAATTTAAAATCAAGGGGCGGGTACACACCTCAACACAAAGAACTCCGTGAGCTTCGCGTGCAGATCCAACATAATACCACCCAACGTCTCATAACTAAGGAGATAGCAGGCAAGGCTCACCGCCAATACTACTATCGACTTATAAGAGAAGTATCACGGACCGGGACAAGCCCTCCCATGATAGCTTTACCCACTGCTGTGAACCCCCCCCCCCCCCCCCCCCCATCCGTCTTTAACACGGTCCTGTTTAAATTGCCTGACTATCGCACTGGTGGATACTTCTGTCCTGTGTGCCCCGGAGATAAGACTTTTTTTATCCAGCCACTTTGCTTGTATCCGTTTTCTAATAAGGCGTGTTCTAGTGTGCTTTTTCTACCCCCAGTTGGACCGGACTTACTACAACAACTACAGAATCGGTATGACTACCACGGCATATGGACTCTCTACGAACATCTCGGGAGCTTCTTTCTCCATGAACAGCGGGCACCAATTTATCTCAATCCAGTACTGGTCGATAAATTGATGTTCCCTATACCCCGCCTCATCACTGTTCTGAAGTACTATTTCCAGATCTCGGTACAGACCAAATCTTCGAGACTTCTGGTACCACCTATGATACTTCCTGCTTTGGCTAGCCAGGGTATTTTAAATGCATCAGCTGTGTGGTGTTGTATCGGGCAGCCACCAACTTTGCTCCGAACCAGAATTGCGGATGACAACCTCACCTTTCTTGGTATCACGTTCAAAATATCTCATGACTCAGCCCATATTACCACTACGAGTGGGTCATGGCACACAAGTTTTAGTTCTCACCCAATGGTAGAGGTATTCTGTATCCATCGTCACACGTGAGCTAACGCATCGTATGTCTTCCATGGTTGCATCACTCGCCCCAGCTTCTCGCGGCAGTTCGACAATCTCAATTTCCCTTCAATTTTCCCAGAACCTATCCAACGAATATGAAGCCTGATGTGTATGTAGACATAAAAATTTATCCAAACAGAAAGTAAAAATATTATCCCTACTTTTAATACTAATTATAATGGGTAGGGAATCGAGAGAGAGAAAAGGCTAAAATGGCTAAAAGAGAAGACTTTAACTACTGCGATTAATAGCTATTTTGGGTGAAGCCGCCAAGAGACCCGACTATCAAGTAAAAGGCTTTTCGGATTACTACTTATGCGTTGCAAATAAAAGGGGGCCACATTCAAGTGAGGAAATCTCTAATTTCCGACATCTACTACGTCGACCCTGTCGCAATCTGCAAACGTTGCTTCAGATTAGATTACAAATATGGTTTCATACAATATGATGCTATACACATCTCTAAAGTGTTGAATTCAACCTCGTTCACTACCAATGGACTGGCTGCGAATATTCCAGACATGCGAATTACCTTTCGCAAGCTGTTAAATGAAATCGAAATGATGAGATGATACCAACAACTACTATATTAAATTCTACTACTACTCCTACTACGATTATCTATCGTATCTATCTTGTACTCTAACGGATATCATGAGCACTACATTACCAATGAGGATATGCTGGACTATCCACCAGGTCTACTTGAATTGGATTACATCGTGAATACCGATCATGTCATGGTCACATACCTTCACCTGTCTATATTGAGGCCATGTTTACTATGAATCCTTAGTACTTTGAAAATAATTAGTAAAGATGCTGGAGGTATGCACTGTATGATCGAGCGCATTATGGCGCTTACCAAGAGACAACCCCGATATTTCATTAATACACAAATTACCAATGCTAATTTGTTTGCTATAGTACAACTTCGGGTAAATTCCTCACCGATAACTGTCTTTTGAGTTCTACTTTCACATTATTTTTTTACAGGAGTACTTTTTCGTGACTCGAGAGGTTATTTTACTATTAGCTAGGTTACAGGGACCTGATAATGCAAGAAGCGTAATACTTTTCTAATATAGTACTATCTATCACTCCAATGTTGTATATCCCAAGGTGTCATACGCCATTAGCCGACATGCTCAATGTTATCACGGCGAATGTGAGAGTGTTGAATGCCAAATAGCGATCAGTTAACAATCCATACTCATAGACAGGAAGTAATATTGTCAGATTGATCAGACTCTGTACAATCCGGTTTTGACTATAGGCTATACTGTTATTCCATCCACCGAACTGTCTGTCTTATGGGTATAGCTTGCTTCTAAGTGTCGTCAATGCTTATAACTGTGTCGTACATACGTCTTATTGTAACATTATCTTGATCAGAGTCCTTTATGGTATTGAGGTTGCAAAGTCCTTAGGGCATATAATTCCTCAAACGGCGTTGTTTTATTCTAAAGTTGAGCAAGGCTTTATACAAAAACCGGAACACCTTAAAGTACAGACTGTGAAGTCGTGCGTAAAACATGGGTGACAATGGTTTACGATTACGTAGGGAACACGTGGATGGTAAATACGCTCAAATGATGCACCAACATATTGTACTACAACAACTTGGCACGCACAACTAGTGTGAAACACATACAGAGGTACAATTAAAGATTAGAGAGCTACGTTTTGAAGGGTAAAGCTGTGTGCACGCGAATGTCAGTACCACTGGTAATACCCATGTTGAAATATTGGCCCGGTGGAACTAATGGGGTACTTAATGTTTAATTTGATGCCACGTCACGATACCGAGGTCTGTAAACCCCTAATTTGTATAAATCAACAAGGTCCGTACTACACACGTGCTCATTTGTTATCTATGTGTGATGTTTTCTATGCTAAACATTGAAAATTATGTTGTAACTTATTGCGTGATGGGTGAAAATTGATACTTTTACGTACACAATTTTTATGTACTCCACAGCTTCTCTATCAACTTCAAGTGATGTGACTAATACCCTAATTGATGGAATGGTAATAACTGTATTGTATTCAATAGCTCTAATAAAAAACATGGACTAGCTATATATACATCATACAACAAATTGCTAGCCAGTACGTGCACTATATGCGAAATTATGTCAGCTTTATTTAATTAGAGAGTGTATCAAAATGTGGATATTAACCCTTTTACGCGCCTTTTACATGACCAAGCGACATCTGGGTTGATAGTTTGTTTCTGGTAAAATCTCGATGACCAACAGGTCACCAGTGTAGAACTGAATACTACTTCCAAAAACCCACAGACCCCACCAAAACAGTCGCATAAATACTAGACTTGAAATTTGGATTTTCAAACAAAATAAAACAAAAATCCAGTAGGGAGCCTGGGGACCCGCAGTCCCACATCCGCGAAAAATGTCGGGCCAGGCCGATTGCGTTCGTCCCCAAGGACTCCTTGCCCAATGACCAATGGAAATTGGACTTACAAAAATCTATCACAGACCTTTCTGCCCAGGTCAATACTCTACAGGCCAATATCAACCAAATTTTGGGACCGGATCTACCAAACCCGAACAATGATGGGCCCATCTCTAAGGAGCCTTTGACTGATGACCAATGGAAATCAACCATGCACCAAATGCTCACTAACCTCTGTGCAAAAGTAATCAACCTCGAATCCGAACTCCGGGACCTTAAATCGCAAACCCGTGCACCTATAGATGAAGACACATCCGACACATTCCGATTTGGCTCCACAAGCCCGCCTGCTCCGCCAGCAAACAGACCGCGGTCACAGGCGCCCATTAGCAGCAGTGAGCCTCCCAGCTACCACTCAAAAGTGGACAAACCTGAAAACCCGAGCCCTAAAAAACGCCCGACCCCATCAGCTTCTCAGTCCCTACCGCAGCCGCCAGTATCCAAACACCTTTTGACGAAAGTGGTGGGCCGCCCGATTCCGGACAAAACTCTTCATGAAATGGATGACATAACTCCGGTATGGCTCTTTTTCCGAACAATTTTTCCAACCGGCAAGCCCCCGTCCCAATCAGTATTTAATAAAATACTGCCAAGCCTAACCAGTCCTCAATCGCCAACACTTTCTCTGGTATCTCCCGTCTAAACCGGTATCTCGTCTAAATCGCCGCGGAAGCTCCGTCAGTTTCGTCCGCCTTTGTGTTCCTAGCGACGCTGTCGCCCAGGTGAAACGCCAAGCAGCACTTCCGTGGAAATGGCAACTTGATGAAAACTTCGACCCCCGCTCCCAACAACATCCCGACGCTACGAAAGCAGCCTTAATTCATTATCTCCGCACCAAGCGGGAGGCCCTCTGCACATATGAACGAGCGCCAAGAATTCTTGCCCGCAGCATGGATACTGAGTCCGCTTGTCAACTCCACTAACGCAGACATCCTTCGATCTACCGCGGACAGTCTCCAGAAGACTTACCAAGCAAAACATGATGCAAACCTCTTCTCATCTATCCCGCGAATCCCGGCAAACGCTAAAGAACCAGCGCGTGCGGAACCCGGATGACTTCATATATCAACGGTCTTCCCGACACAACCATCCGACGCGATGGTTACCTATACGCAACCTCAACCTTCCACGAAAACTCTTCGACGACAGGCAACGATATAAAAATGGCTGACATCGTTAAAGAAGAGAGCCCAGTAGTATTGACCGAGGATGAACAATGCTAGGACCAATGAGGATGACGCTCTTCGACCCACAAGGACTCAACATGGACAACGCAGCACATACAGATAAGTGTTTGAACGTTATATCGATTTTAAGTCAGGTTGATGTTATGTGTGTGGTTGAAACCTGGCATAACACCACATATCTTAATCATATACGCTCGAACACACACTACCATATTCTACATCACACTACACTGCATAATATCTTACACCCTTCACACTGTGGTATTGGCATTTTTTCCAAACACCACCCATCGAATTTTCAACTTGTACACTCCTCACCGTACGCGGTGTTCTTTGTGTACTTTGGCGTTCATATGGCCGTGTTCTACCTTACACTCAAATCACTTACTGAAGAAGACGACAGGCGATACATGAATCCCCCCGAGATTGGCAATTTCCAACCAGATGTCGTGTGGGGAGATTTCAACTTCAAAGCCCGGAAGTATGGCCACGCATCTACAAATCACGGACTACGTATGAAAACGATTGAAACTACCCTGCGTAATACGTGGCACTTGAACTACCTCTATGCTGGCGGCTCAACTGGTATAGAACATGCGTATCATCGGCCTACCACCCCCGCCTCTCTCCAGACTTATAACTGACGGATTACGGTATCTGGGGTGACCACACCTTTGGACTCGATCTCCAGATACTTCCCACGCATCAAATCCATCGGCCCCAACAAATGCCAACAATGCAGCCGCCTCCGGAACCAGCGCCTCCCCTCCCATGGATATAACCGATATCGCCATCGACTGCATCACCTACGCAATAAATCCCGCGCGCAACTATTCCAAGCCAAAATCCGGGCACATCAGAACCTACTACGGTCATATCTCACTTTGCATGGACCAGCGGAAGGGCTGCTACGGATCCTCGACCGTATCTGGCGCTATGCCGCTAACCCACAAATCTTCGGGGGGTTCTACTATGACTTAAACAGACCCTGGGTTCAGCGGCTGCCAAACAACTCGTTCCACCCACGTCTGACCACACAAAGCAATGCTGAAATGTTCAAAGATATTGCGTACCAACGACGGTCTCCGCGCCAACCCTGCATACCGGGTACCGATGACACAGGCGCCACCCTCGCTGGCTACTTTGAGGACCTATTCAACTCTACAAACCCGTACGCGGTTCCACCGGATGCCGAACCCTCTCCCAATGTCGCTTCCACTATACGCCCCGACGATGTAACGGAGGCTATACTACGCTATCCAATAAGGGGCTTGACCCCGACGGGATCCACACCCTCCTCCTGAAGGCCACAGGGGAGCGCTTCACCGAACGACGGACAATAGGACGCCCCGACGCCAATAGCCCACTGATTAGACTCCTTGTCGAAGCATTCACTGAGCTACTGAAGGCGGGTACCTTCCCTGCAGCCCTAAACTGCAGCCACCTGACAGCGCACTCATAGAAAGCCGATACAGATATCACCTCCCCAGCCGACTTCCGCCCCATCACGCTGACGCAAATAGTCAGACGCATCTTTGAAAAGTGCTTTCTCAACCTGATTGCGAGCCACCCCGGCTTTGCTACCCATGCTACCCAAGCTGGCTTCAAATCACGGTACTCCTGTCACACCCAAGCACTTGCCGCCATGGAATTTGAGACACAGTCAGAAGGGGAGTGGAACGACGTCTGTCTGGACATTACCAAGGCATACGACAAGGTTGCTCTCCCACGCCTATGGGTACTCTTGCGCCACACTGGAATGCCCGAAAATTGGGTCAACTGCCTCCGCGCGCTATTTGAGAGGGTCCTTACCCGAGTGACATATCGCCGCATGCTCTCGCCTCTATTCCATAGAACGAATGACATCCTACAAGGCTCAATCGTTGGCCACCAGCTCTATATTATCTACATGGATTCCTTAGCTGTCACGCTAGCATTATTCCGGCCCAAGCTCCTCCGCTCTTATTTATTTGTCGATGACACACGTATCTAATCCCTTCAATCGGTTCCGTTCCAGCCCTTTTTAGATGACATTGATGCGTGGGGACGCAAATCTGGCCTCGAACAGGGTGTCATTAAACCCCGAGTGCGATTTACCGACTTGTGACACGCGGCGCCAACCCTCCGTATAACTCGAACAGGGTTAAACCCCGAGTACGATCTACCGACTTGTGACACGCGGCGCCAACCCTCTGTATAAATGGTGAGCTTATCACGCCGACGCTTGCAGGCGCACCTTGGAACACACGTTACCTCCCCCTGAAGATGGCGCCCGCACATGCCAAACCGAAACGCTCCAAATATCTGGGGTTCCCACTCTCTCACGAAATACCAGGAATCAACCTCGCCAGACATATGGAACCCCTGGTTGCAGCATTGTCCTTGGGTATCGCCTCTTTCCGCGCTTATGGCTTCCATGGCTTCAGCTGGCGACCGACTGGTGCTGTTCGAAACATACATCCTATCCACGGCTACGTATGGCCTGAACATTATTGCCTGGGCTCCGCATATATGGGATGATGTGTTGAACCCCCTGTTCAAGCGCTTTAACTCAGCACTCCTCCAAGCAGCAGCCATCATCAAGGGCACTAGATACCCTCAGTTTCCCAAACATCAAACAAAGTTACATCACTTTTGTGGCCTGCTCCCCGTGCGACCATTCGCGGACTACCTCGGAGGTTGCCTGGGAATACAACTCGACTCAATGGTCAGCACAAATCCACTCACCCCTCTGACGCAACCCGCCTGGGCCCACGGCAAATCATTACTGCGCTTCCCGTACAGTATCTATGCTCACCTAAAAACTGTACACAAAAAAACATGGGCGGGCGTACACCCGACCATGTAGCCCTCCGCCAACACTGTGACGACATCAGAAAGAACTCAACAAAGCGCTGGTCTAACAAGGAGATCGCGGCAATGGCCCGGCGCCAACACTACTACCAACTGGTTATGGGTAAACCGCCAATCTCAAACCGAGACAAAGCCAGACACGACAGCTTCAACCGCTGCTTCGAGCCTACACCAATCCGGCTCTGTGCTATGATTGTAACGAATACGTACATGTTCACATTGATCGACTACCGCACCGACGGATGTCTCTGCCCTGTCTGCTTCGGTAGCCACAAGTTCACCACCAGCCATTTTTCCTGCATCCAACAACTGGTTCGACGCATCCTGGTAGGCCCGAACACAACTGCCGCCCATTGGCCCTGACCTCTTCCAGCAATTACGGGAGTGCCACGACTTCCACGGTATCTGGGCCCTCCACGAACACCTTGGATCTTTTTTCCAGCATGTAGAAGAACCACCGTACCCTCACCCATTTCTGACACATCAACAGATGTTCCCCATACCCCGGCTAATCACGCTGTTGAAGTACTACTTCCAAATTTCGGTCCAAACCAAATCATCGCGCTTGTTGGTTCCGCCTATGATACTTCCGATCCAGGCCAGCCAGCACATACCGAATGCATCCGTGGTCTGGTGCGGCATTGGCTCACCCCTATCCTCGCTCCTCGACCGAATTATGACGGATGTAAACTTCGATGGATATTTCTATGTTTTAAACTATGTTATATAAACTAAGATACAATTTAAGTCAGTTAGGATTTAGCAGTGGTAGCTTGTGTAAGAATGATCGGGACTGCTTCTTGGTAAGTTCCTTAATATCCTAGATCACACAGGACGTACCTCTAGCTGTTCTTTATTGAATAATTTCACTAGAAGTGTTCATGACCACATGTCTAATTTGTAGATAGACACAAGAACGTAGGTCAAGTTAATACATTAGCTAAAATAAATTAAGTTACATCTGAAGAAAAGTTAAAAAAAGAAAAAGACTTATTGGATTTTGGAGATTGGCTTGAAGACCAAATCCTGTAAGTAGTAGTTCAGAGATTATAAAATTTAGTTTATAATATCCTACATCTACTATCGTCTCAAATAGGTCCAAGTAAACGAGTCATACCAAATACTCAGGCTATTGGAGCCATCAAAGTGAATTTAGAACACCTTGGAAACATTGGAAAAAGATCTTGTATCAAAATATTTTAAATACAAATACAAACCAATGTGTTATCTCATTTGATCTTGATATTTTAGACTGACCGGAGGCCGTATTTTTACATAGTCCCCAGTAGCCCCCAGTAGCTTTTAGGACTACGGACGTACGTGAAGGTACGATCTAGTTCGTAAAGCGAAAACCACCTTGGAAACATTAGGAAAAAGAACTTGTATCAAAATATTTTAAATACAAATACAAACCAATGTGTTATCTCATTTGATCTTGATATTTTAGACTGACCGGAGGCCGTATTTTTACATAGCCCCCAGTAGCCCCCAGTAGTTTTTAGGACTACGGACGTACGTGAAGGTACGATCTAGTTCGTAAAGCGAAAACCAAAGTAAAACGGTTTCGGTCATGGCTTATCGAGTAAGTATGTGCCTATATATACGAGTTCAAGAATCATGTTGTACTCTATGTCGTTTAGTTTTTGGTCCAGTAACCATTTCCGATGTAGGAGCCTTACGTTTATTACTTGGTAAGGTAATAGCCGAAGGTTGTTCTTCATTAGTAAAAAAGTTCGAAGAATTTTCTGCTCTGTTGGTAAGCAGATCAGAAAGTTTAGTCACATATGAAGTAGGTGGCAAATAGGGAATTTCAGATTCATCCGGTTTGTAGTCACCTGAGGAAACCCTTTCCGTTTATCTTGTGTGTTCTTATGTAAATGCTTATTCCATTTCTTATTAAAAGTGCGAAGGAAGTCGCGAGATTCACGAAACGCATCGGAGGT